TTGTGCTGCTATTTAGGCATGGCTTTGGATTGATGGAGAGAATGATGATACAATGTGAGAGGGGCACAGTTGGTGTGAGATCTTTGGGGAGGGGAGATGTTATCTGACAGAGGATATAAGTGGCACCAGGTCTTCAGGACCCAACCTAAACTGGTAGAGAGAAAGACTTGGAAACCTGCTGTCATGTAGGAGCTCAAAATTAAAAAAAACCAAACAAACCAACAAATGTTAAATTTTTTTGTTTTCATGCAATTGAGAAAAAGCAAAATAAAGAATAAATGTGATAAAATAAAATAAAATTTAAAAAGACATGAGAGGTACACAAGAAAGAGCTTTTACAGTGGAAGGGGAAATACTGTGTGGGAGCAGCTAATGCTTAAACCTCATTCACATCTAAACTGGTTTAAAGAGAGAAAAATAAACATATATATATATATAATACACACATATGTATATAATATACATACATATACATACACACACACACACACACACACATATATATATATATACATATATATATATACACACATACACATAATATACTCAATTGGCAATAGAAATCTATCTTACCAAATAAATAAATAGGGCAGGAAGGAGATAAGGGAAAGAAGGAAATAAAAGAAAGCAGTGGTTAGAAGCAAAAGAGAGAGAAGGATAGACAGAAGAAAATAGGATGGAGAGAAATGCATTGTTAGTAACCACAGCTATGAATGTGAATGGAGTGAGCTCACCCATTAAAGGGAAACAGATAGCAAGATTGATTAGAAAACAGAACCCAATAATATGTCGTTTACAAGAAACACACTTGAATAAGAGAGATGTACATAAAGTTAAAATAACGGGCTAGATCAGAATCCACTATGCTTCAGCTGAAGTAAAAAAGGCAGAGGTAGCAAATTATGACTTTAGACAAAGCAAAAGCAAAAATAGACATAAGTAAAAGTGAAAATCAGGGAAACTGTATGGAACCGTAGACAATGAAGTCACATCAATACTAAATATATATGTACCAAACAGTACAGTATCCAAATTCTTAAAGGAAAAGTTAGATGAGTTATAGGAGAAAACAGTAAAACTATACTGGTGGGATACCTCAACTTTCCCCTCTCAGAGCTAGATAAATATTATCATAAAATCAATAAGAAAGAAGATGAATAGAATCTTAGAAAAGTTAGATAGACCTTTGAAAAAACTGAATAGGAATAAAAAAAAATTTAGTTTTTCTCAACTATACATGACATTACATGTATTAACCAAAAATGAAACAACCAAATGCTGAAAAAATAATGCATTCTTTTCAGACTATAATGTAATAAAAGTTACATTTAGGAATGGACCATAGATGCAAAGGTTAAAAAATTAATTGGAAACTAAATAATCTAATCCTAAAAAATGAGTGAGTCAAAGAACAAGTCATAGAAACAATCAATAATTTTGTTAAAGAGAACGACAATAATGAGACAATATTCCAAAAGTTTTGAGATGCAACCAAAGCAGTACTGAGCAGAAAATTTATAACTCTAAATGTATACATCAATAAGAGAGAGAAAGAGCAGATCAATGAATTTTTCGTGCAACTAAAAGAAACCTAGAAAAAGAACAAATTTAAAACCCCAATTAAATACCAAAATGTTAATCCTGAAAATCACAGGTGAGATTAATAAAAATTAGTTTTTTAAAAATTGAAATAATAAATAAAAGTAGGAGCTAGTTTTATGAAAAAAATCCAACTCAATAAAATAAACTATTGGTTAATTTGATCTTTAAAAAGAGAAGAAAACCACATTACTAGTGTCAAAAATGAATAGGGTAAAATCAATACCAATGAAGAGGAAATTAAAGCAATTATTGGGTGTAATTTTGACCAATTATGAGCTCTCAAAACTATAATCTAAGTGAAACCGATGAATAATTACAAAAATGTTAACTGCCCAGTTTAACAAAAGAGGTAATAAAATAGTGAAATAATCCTAGTTCGGAAAAATAAATTGAACAAGCTAACACTGAAGTCCCTAAGAAAAAATCCTCAAGACCAATTTACACGTGAGTTCTACCAAATCTTTAAGGAACAGTCAATACCGAATACCACGTAAACTATTTGAAAAAATAAGCAAAGTAGTCCTACCAAATTCCTTTTATGACACAAACATGGTTTTGACACCCAAACCAGGGTAAGTAAAGGTAGAGAAAGAAAATTATAGTCCAATTTCCTTAATGAATATCAGTGCAAAAATTTTAAATAAAATACTAGCAAGGAGATTGCAATAACATATCACAAACATCATACACTACGACCACGTGGGATTTATACCAAGAATGCAGGGCTGGCTCAATATTAAGAAAACTATCAGCATAATTGGCTGTCTAAATAACAAAAACCATATGATTATATCAATAGATGTAGAAAAAAACCTTTGAAAAAATACAACAGTCATTTCTATTAAAAAAAAACACTAGGAAGCATAGTAATAAATGGAGACTTTCTTAAAATAAGTAGTATCTATCTAAAACCAAGAGTGAGCATCGTCTTCAATAGGAATAAACTTGAAACTTCCCAATAAGATGAGGGGGGAAGCAAAGATATCTATTAATACCACTATTATTCAATAGTGTACTAGAAATGCTAGCTACGGGAATAAGACAAGAAAATGACATTTCTATGCTCAATGTAAATAATCATGTCAGCTGTGAAGTAGTGAAAATGGCACTGGTTTTAGAATAAGAAGATCAAGGCTAAATTCCTAGTTTCAACACCTATTTACTAACTATAGCAATGGACAAAACTCTTCATCTCTCTAAGCCTCAGTTTCTTTATCTTGAAAATGGAAATAGTAATGATTATATGACCTGACTCAGACAATTGTTATAGAGATCAAATGAGATCAAATAGGCAAAATACTTGATAAACCTTAAAGTACTGTATATATGTAAATTATTATCATGAATGGTCAACTACATGGCACAGCGGATAGAGTGTGGGGCTTGCAGTCAGGCTGACTCATCTTCATGAATTTGAATCTGTCCTCAGACACTTACTAGCTATGGTACCCTAGGCAAGTTACTTAACCCTGTTTGCCTCAGTTTCCTCATCTGTAAAATGAGCTGAAAAAAGAAATGGCGAACCACAATATTTCTGCCAAGAAAACCCCAAATCAGGTCATGAAGAATTGGACACCACTGAAAAACATTATTATTATGAGTAGTATCCTCTCAAATATTTTTGAACAGCTAAACATGAGTTCTACATGTGAACACATGACTCCCATTGTGATTAAGGATGCATATGCATTTATAGGTTGTGATCAGAGGTGAAGTTCTAAATATCAAATGATAGTGAAGACCTATATCATTAATAGGGCAACTAGGTAACTCAGTGAATAGAGCACGTGGCCTGATGTCAGAAAGAACTGACTTAAAATCCGACTTCAAACACTAGCAATGTGTTTATAGGCAAGTCACTTAACCCTGTTTGCTTCAGTTTCCTGTAAAATGAGCTGGAGAAGGAAATGGCAAATCACTCCAGTAGCTTGGTCAAGAAAACTCCAAATGGAGTTTCATGACTCGCTGCCATCACCATCAAAAATGTTATTAATAGGTTTGTTCTAAATGAACTCGATAGCAAACTAAGGAATGAAAACATTAGTATTTCATTCATTGCAAATTTATTACTTGATATTGACAAAACATTTAAAAATCGATTCTTCTAGGCCATCTATGTTTGCAACACTTTCTGGAAATAAGTGAGACATGTTTAGGAGACATAATAACTATAGGATGTCTCTGAAGTCTTGGTGCAGTTTTAAGCTGGGACCTCTTACATATCAAACATTAAGGTATCATTCAGTGTACTGGAGTAGTTCAGTTTTTAAAAATAGCTAAATTACAACCAGAGAGAATTTTTTTTTTCATTTTGGACTGATTAGAATGAACTTGACCCAAATATTTTACCCTATAAGCTATTTCAAAGATTAATTTGAAATTGAATATGTCTTGACAAATTATTTTGCTGTGAGAATGGTATTTTATAAGATATCAAAAGCCACTCATCTATTTGAATTGATATGGTGAATTCAGGCAAGTAATGAGTTAATTCAGTAAGAGGATAAAAGGTTAAACCTGTGGCTTAACTGAATTGATAGATCAGTTTAATGTCATTCAGTTAACCAATGTTTATTAAGTGTTTACTATGTGCCAGGGATGAGGCTAAGTGCTAGGAATACAAAAAAATATGTTTACATATTTTTTTTTTCATGTTTTAACATGATCTCCACCTTTAAAGAGCTCACATTCTAATGGGAGAGAACATGCAAACAACTACATAATATAAGATGTCAATCAAATGCCAATTTGGTAGCCTTATATATAGAGCAGCCAAACAGCTTGGCCTACTAGCTCTGTGTGGCCTGAACCTCAGCACTCACTTCATTGGTGGTAATGTTCCTATATGTTCCAGGAGAAAAATTTGAAGGATTTGTATTTTGAATGTCAACAAAACAGGGGTCCCAACCTTCTTTATATGGTCTCATTTGGCAGTTTGCCGAAGCCTACATGGACCCCTTCTCAGAATGATGTTTTTAAATACATAAAAAACATATCATTACAAAGAAAACCAATTACATTGAAATGTACTTCAAATATGAAAAAAAAGTTTACGTATCCAAGTTTAAAACTCCTACCATAAAAGTTTGTCTTTTAATGAATAATTAGATTACATTAAAAAAACCTTATTTTTAAACCATCTTATTTACTGTCCATATTCTAAAATATACATGAAATATATATTTAAAATATGTATACTATTGATGATCTATTTTAACTAAGAAATGACAAATACAAGTACTAACTCTATGACCAAGGCACAATATTTATTTACTGTTCATTTCCAATAACATCCATGAAATACACACATATTTCAAAAGTTTTAACCAGAGTATCTCCAATATTTTGAGAAGCTCCTCTGTTGGAGAATGCTTGGATGCCATAGACAAGAATTACACAAGATCGACGTTTATGGGTTATTTGCAATCTGCACCAGCAGGGGGAGTCTTCACTTGCCTAAGATCATGGATTGAGAGGTTTTGCTATATCCTGGATTTATTTAAAGAAAAAAACAAAACAAAAGAAAATTACTAATTCATTTTGAGAGGTCTTATGAAGCTCTCTGGGTGCTCTTACACTCTTTTTCTATAAACTATATATAGTTCTTTGAAGTGTTGAGATACATATGAAAATTATGTGGCTCATATTAACTGATTTGCTGAAAACACACCAAATAACAGTTTAAGAAAGAAAGGAAAAAAAAACCAGAATGTCTCTCACTTGTCAAAGAATGTCTCTCACTACTCAGGGAAGGTGGTAGACTCTCTGTGATGATCAGTTCAGGGATTTTGCCATTTCTAATGCAATCCAGGGCTATTTTCTTAATTTCATTGTGCTTCAATTGAGATTTTGTTGCCACAAAATTTCTAAATATAGATTTTATCAAAAAATTTCTCAGTAAAAGCTAGGAACCAGAAACTCATGAATAGTCAAAGGTAGATTTTGTTTAGTATCAGGCAAAATTCATTGTTTTAAGTAAAATGGCTTGAATTTGTTTTTCTTAAAGTAATTCTTAAGAAAAAGATTATACTGAGTTTAGTAAGTAAATAAATCACTTTAAAGTAACCATAAGTTCAAACATCTTTTTCTTTGTTCATTTATTTATTCTGGACATGTGATCTTACTGTTGTAGAGAACTGCTAGTGTGGAAATGCCCTCAATGAATGCAGATCCACAATTCATCTCTAATTTATAGACTTACAGTGTTTCCAGGTGTTTTGTTGTTGCTCAGTTACTTTTCAGTTGTGTCTGACTCTTTGTGACCCCCTTTTTGGGTTTTTTTTCAAAGACACTGGAGAGGTTTTACAATTTCTTCTCCAGGTCATTTTACAGATAAGGAAACTAAGGCAACTAAGGGTTAAGTGACTTGCCCAAGGTCACACAGCTAGTAACTGTTGAGGCCAGATTTGAACTCAGGAAGATGAGTCTTCCTGACTCAAGGACCAGTCTATCCACTGTGCAACTTAGCTACCCTATTTTCCTGGTGCACTGAGAGATTAAGTGACTTGTCCAGGGTCACACAGCAAGTGTCAGAAGCAAGACTTGAACCCAGGTCTTCCTGACCTGGAAAGCCCTCTAAACATTATGCCACATTGTCTCATGAGTTTAAGCAATAAAGGAACATGGGAAACAATTGTCATACACATTCTAATTAAGGCATACTGAACCCTAAATATTTTTTTAAAGTGAGGTTAAAATCTCAGAGCCATAATGCTTATATAGAACCAAAGGGAATATTGGCATTCAGAGAAATGGACAAATCTCTCTAAGTGAATCTGTAATCAGGTCCAAAGTCCTTAACCTTCCTTTTGCTCACAGAATCGCAGATTTAAGATCTGCAAGGAATTGTAGAAGCCATTGGTACATTCTTTGAATTGGTCGAGATCAGATTGTGGATTTCTTGATGGCAGGGATTACTTGTGCTTTTTTTTTTTTGTATTCCAAAATTTAGCAGAGTACCTGTCACGTATTAAGTGCTTATTAAATGTTTGATGACCTAATGACTTAGAGATGAACTGCATATCAAGGTGCTGAAATAGTTGGCAAATATGATTACTGAGCCATTGTCAAAAATTCTAAAAGACAGAGAATGAGAGAGTTGTTGCAAGACTGGAAAACACAATGTTGTCCTTAGTTGCAGAAAGGGGAAAGATATGGAGTCTTTAAGCTAAAAGTTAGTGAGCTTGACAATGATTCCTGGAAAAATTATAGAATGTATTATTAAGGTGATAGTCAGTGAACATCTTCCCACCTTAAATTTTTTATCCTATGGTCTAAAAAAGTAAGCATTGATCACAAAAACCATCACATCTTCAACAACAGGTAATGCCAGTTAAACTCCATTTACTTTTTTTTAAGCAAAGTTGTTAGAGTAACATTACAAATGAATACCATACATTAATTTTGCCTAAACATTAAGAAAACATTCAACTAAGTTCTTCCTTCTATTCTTGTAGAAGTGTGGAGAGATATAAGTTAGATGACAGTGTAGTTAGGCAAGTTTGGATTTGGATGAATGGTTAGAAGAAAGATATGGTGTGCAAAACCAGTGAGGTGATAGGACCTTTGTTCTTTGCTCTGGTTGGGCAATATCTGGAGCATTATGTTCAATTCTTCAGACTGCGTTGAAGAAACACATTTGTAGATTCCAAAGGAGGGGCAAAATGGAAATGGGTCTCTAGATCATGACCTATGAGGATTGCTTGAATAAATTGTTAATATTTAAGACTTGATTGGAGATGGAGAAAATGTTTATAGCTACCTTCTAGGGTCAGAGGGGTAGCTTGGTGGTGCAATAGAGTGCCTGGTCATTCAGGTCAGGAAGACCTGAATTCAATTCTGGTCTCAGACACTTACTAGCTGTATGATTCTGGGCAAGTCACTTAACCTGGTTTGCCTCAGTTTCCTCCTCTGTACAATGGGCTGGAGAAAGAAATGTCAAATCACTCCAGTATCTCTGCCAAGAAAACCCTTAAAAGGGTCACAAAGAGTTGGACACAACTGAACAACAACAATATGAAGGGTCAAAAGGCTGTTATATGTAAGAAGGATTAAGTGTATTTCACTTGATCCCAGAGAGAAGAACTAGAAGCAATCTTTATTTACAAAAAGGAAAATTTAGGCTTGATTTGAGAGAAAATATCTACATTTATATTAAAGCTATTCAAAATGGAATGGCTTCCCTTAGGAGATAATTGGTTCCCCCTCGTTGGAGGTGTTTACACCAAAGCTGGATCACCACTTGTCAAGGATGTTCTAGATGGGATTTTTATTCAGGTACAAATATGGCCATATGACCTCTGAATTCCATTCCATTTTTTAGATTCTGTAATTCTTTTATTACTCATACTCAAACTCAAATAAAGTAGGTTTAGTTAGAAACTCAACTTTAAAACTCTGAAGTTGGGAACTGCTTATCCTCTAGGTCATTCTGAAAGTGTCTATATTAAATTCAAATTCTAGAATAAGGAATTGCTCATTCTAAATACCTTTCACAGTCTTCTGGCTTATCCTTATAGATTGCTTCATAGGAAAAGATGCTTGTCTGTTCATCTTTAAATGTTTCTTGATGGTCAATCTTTCCTTCATCATTTATTTGAAGTAACTGATGAATATCTTGCTGAACAAATGATATATTATATATATTACAGTAGATAACATGAATCTAAAGCTAATTATAAATAAGTTATTGTTATAACAGGAAATTTGGAACATTTTTAAAATATAATTTCATAAGATCATAGAATTAGATGGATCAGAGAGAGATCTTAGAAGTAATCTAGTCCAACTCCCTCATTTTACAATAGAGGAAACTGAGGCACATACTGTAAATTTTTAGGAGTAGGGACTGTGTAATTTATTGTATTTATATTCTTAGTGCTTAGCATAGTGCTTGGCATACAGTACATGCTTAATAAAGGCCTTTGGCTGCTCAAATTTATGCAGGCAGTAACTGGAAGAACCAGTCATCAAGCTCAGGTCTGCTGAATTCAAGTCCAGTCCTCTTTTCACTGCACTATGAAATTTCCTTTGTTCTTAGTACACTTTTTCATTGTCTTTCTTTTGTTGCTCATTTTTCAGGTGCAAAGAATAAATATGACTTAGTATGTCTCTAATTACAATAATATTATATTTATATAGATCAAATAATGTCTCTCTTGTGCTAAAAAAAAAAAGTGGCTCACGACCACCAGGCAACTCCCTTGCCTAACGTTCAAGGCCCCCCGCAATCTGTAGCCACCTGTATCATCTCTTCTTTATTTCATATAATTTCCTTCCATGTGCTCTCTGCTCTAACTCCCAGCCTCACCTCTACATCTCATCTATACCCTATGCATTCTTGTCTCAATGTCTTTGACTGCGTTATTTCTTTGTATGTAATATTTTTACTGCTCCTCTTTGCTTACAAAATTCTAACCCAACTTGAATCTACCTTCTACTTAAACCATTTTCTAATGTCCTCTAGAAAAGGAATACCATGATTTCTACTTGGTCATCTTATTGATAACATTTCTCCCTTTTTCTGATCTAGGCTTCCTGCCTGATTCTCCTCCTAGACTTTTTCTGCAATGCCCCAGAAACCTCTCCACCTTGTGGCCCCTCTTTCTGATTGGCTGTTTCCTTTTAGAACCTCCATTTTAAGGAGGATGGCCAGGCCACCTATATCTTCAATCCTCTGCAGGCCGCAGACCCTCCTCTTGAACATTCTTTAAAATGCCACATGTTGTCTTCCTGCATTAGAATGTAAACTACTTGAGGGCAGACTGTTGTTCTTGGCGCTCCCAGCACTTTGTGTCTGGCACATAGTAAGTTAAGTGCTATTCAATGCTCATTGCTCGTGGCTACTGATAGCTTTCTCATTGCCCTTTCTTTTGTACATCTTGAAAAAATAAATAAAAAAAAGGCATTTTTCATTCTTGAGAATGCACTTGTTAAATTATATTAGCTGTGCATTTATTTTCATTTCCTACGAGGCTATTTGCACGGGAAAGGTGAGGCCTGTATTTAAAATTAGTATTTCTCTCATCATCTAGAACAGTTTTGAAAACAAGAGGGGCTTATGCAATGTTTGTTAAACTTGCTGATTTCAGCATTTGCCTTTTTTAAAATTCATTCCCCACCTAATTTAGAAGGTAGGTATTGTGGTGGGTTGCCATGCTTGTTAGGGCATATTGCATTGCTTTTAAATCAGGAGAATCCTGATCTCTACAAAATTCTGAACTATTCAGTGATTTGTTTTACTCCACGTACCATGCTCATGACAGATCCAGTAATGAGACAGATAACTATATTTCCGATTCCTTACACTTCTATCTAAGTCATTAAAAAGTCTTTATCTGCTTGGAAAAATCCATATTCATATTGTTTACCTTGCTCACTAAAAAGTTTAACAGCCTGGTGGTTGGGACTTGAGGCTGTCCACTCCTCTGCATTCACTTCCATTTTTAATAATGTCAACAATCTCACTTTCCTGTTTTTGTAATGACTGTTTCACTTTTTCCAGAAGCTCCAGTGCTCTTCTTATTTTTTCTTCCAATAGCAAGTTTCTTTGATCCTCCATTTTGCTAATTCCCTGCAAGAAAATAACAGTGTCTTAGTTCGTATTTACTAGGAAACATTTATTACTTTCTTTTCTTTTTTAAAGAGATGGAGAAACAGCAAAGTTGGGACATCTCTGGGCAAAAGAGCAATTGTGGAATGTTGACGACAAAGAAATAGTCTAATCATGCAAGACGCAAAATGTTTAAGCCCTTAGAAACATGCTTTATAGGTAATTATTAGTATGATACAGATTGAAGGGGGAAAAAAAGTTGTACCAGGAATATTTTGTAAAATAGCTTGGGATTTTAGAAGGAGTGCAAGTTTGAGTTTGAATTCATTTGGGGAGGGGGGTGCCTTTTCATGGAAATTTCATTGAATTTTAAAATATAGCAACAGTTCTTTAAAGCATATTCTCAAGTTGGTCCACCATTCTCTTTAGAGAATTGGGTTGGATTGAATGACACTTTATAGTTATTTTTTTCCATTTCAAGAATTGTCAGTGGCTAAAAAATTAATTGACTGATGGCTCATTTTATGCTAATGATTCTGATTACATTTGGCTAGGCCTCTTCTTGAAAGATAAAAACAGTCCAATGCTTAGCACAGTATCATGCACACAAAAAGCATTTATGTTTATTGACTGAATAAATGAATGAGAAGAACTTGAAAATGACTTTCTGAGACTTTATTTTCATAGCAGTATATTTTTATGACAGTCTTTGCTCATAAGTTGGCATTCTAATGAAAGCTTTAAAATAGCTAAGTATGAGTTTTGAATTCTTGTATTTATACCTGATTTCAAAATAGAAATTTGTCACATGAAAGAAAATATCATGCTAGCTTAATTATTATGCAAAAATATTTAGGAAGGTTACTCTAAATTTTATTCTTTGACATTATCATCCATCATGATTACCACAATAGAGAGGAATGATATAATAGCTAGCATTTATTCAGTAGATCATTGTTTGCAAAGTGCTTTACATGTTACGTCATTTGATCTTCACAACAAATCTGTAAAGTGGATGCTGTAATTATTCCAGTTTTACAGATAAGATTATGTTTTCCCTAAGCTACAGACTTCGTATTTTTAAAAGCTATTTCAAAACTTTCAGTGCAACAAAAATTCACTGATAATTCAACTGGATAATAACGTATGGAAGGACCAGCATTGGTGCTGATAATGGAGGTGGGGAGAACCACCCATCCTGATAACATCATGGAGTCATCAAAAAGTCAAGAAAGGTTCCATCATTTCTTCTTCCTGTGCTTGGTTTTCCTTTAGCAGAGATGAGCCAACGTGATGGAATAAAGAGTCTATTGTACTCAGAGTCCAGAAGACCTAGTCAATCAGCCCTCAGATATTTTTGAACTGTGCGACCCTAGACAAATCGCTTAAACTCCGTGAATCTCAGTTTCATCTGTAAAATGGGGACGATAATAATACTACGTTTACAGGATTGTGGGGAGAAAATAATCATATATATAAAACCTTTTTCAAGCTTTAAATAGTTCTACAAAATAGGATATTATTTCCTTTTAGCAACATGAAGTACTGATCAATGTTTTGGGAAAAAAATTAATGGACATGGACAAAAAAAAGTCCATGAAAATTTTTTCCTAATCATAAATATTCCTCTTAGAGTTTGTACTAACATTAATATTTTCAAAGGGATAGGTACCAGAAGTTTTCATGGAAAGTATCTCTGATTTTTCTATGTGTTTCATCTGCCACAAAAATAATTGTTACCTGGTGCTTCCATCCTAGGTTAACAGTTCATTTGTAAATTCATAGGATCACAGCTCTAGAACCAGAAAGAACTTCACAGGTCATTAGAGAGTTCACAAACCCCTCATTTTACAGACAAATAAAACAAAACAAAACTGAGGCACAGAGTAGTTAAATTACTTGCCCAAGGTCACATAGGCAATAAGAGGCAGAGCAGGGAAGATAACTCAGGTTCTCTCGACTCCAGAGACAGCATTCTTTCTACTGTACCATTACCAAACCATGCTTTGTAAAGCCATGGTACCTTTTGAAACTGCTATGTTGTTCAGTTGTTTTCAGTTGTGTCACACTCTTTCTGACTCCATTTGGGGTTTTCTTGACAAAGATACTGGAATGGTTTGCCATTTCCTTCTTCAATTCATTTTACAGATGAGAAAACGGAGGTAAATAGGGTTAAGTGACTTGTCCAGGGTCACACAGCTAGTGTCTGAGGCCGGTTTTGTACTCAGGCCTTCCTAACTCCAGTCCTAGCGCTCTATCCACTGGACCCATAGGTGCCCTAACTACTCTAGGGTTTCCATAAGGTGGAGAAATGATTTATGCAACTCGACAAGTATTGATTTAGTGCCTGTTAGGTACTCAATGTCTAAGAAAGAAAAGAAGTCTGACCAAAAAATGTTCACAAAAGGGCATGCTTTTTTTTTTTTTAGTTAGGCAGTGAGGTTAAGTGACTTGCCCAGAATCACACAGCTAGTGAGTGTTGCATCTCTGAGGCTGGATTTGAACTCATGTCCTCCTGAATCCAGGGCCAGTGCTCTTCAGGGCATACTTTTGAGTAAGTAATAATTTCAGGACTTGTGTTGAACATGGAATAAAGGAGATGAAATGATGAGTAGAAGTTAAGTTCCTTGAGAGCAAGACTGTTTTTGTTTGCCTTATATTCCCCTATCTTAGCACCTCATTTGGCTTTTTGGAGGTGCTTAGTAACTGGTCACTAAACTGACTGGAAAAGAGTAACTAAAGCTACTAAATATGTCTCCATAAGCCCAATGCCACAGCCTCTTTTGCAATCCAAGTACCTTACTGACACTGCTTTTTTCATTGTGATTTAAGATCAGATTTGTGACTGACTACTTTGTAAATAATATCACTGTTTGGCGCACTTGTCAAAAGTGCATTTTGGAAATATTATTATGACTTTTCAAGTTAGGTTTTACTCCTCTTTTTACAAGGATACTAATACAATGATGGAAGAAAACAAGGAAATAAACTAATCCAGTAGCATTGATTGAATGCCTGCTATGTGCTTAGAATTATGCTTCATGCTTGGTTAGAAAACTTAAGTTCCCAAAGAGCTTGTAAATTAAGTTGGGCAACTAAGAATTGTCACCAATCAATTATCAAAGAGCCACTTAATTAAGTTATTGCTATAAGCTACTATAGAGTGAAAGACTTTTTCTTTTTTGAGGGGGAAGAGCCTCTAGCTCTGACTAACCATCAGACCACACTCAATAATTCTGATGTCCTGAGTGACCAGCCCCCTTACCACACCCAACCCAACCTCTTCACATTGGCAGCTGCCTCAGTTCCCTACTTCATGTAATCTCCCATGGCTACTCCTCACTTTATTTCCTACTACCTCCTCACTAGCCACCAGGCTATTCCTCTTCTCTCCTCAGCGCTGACACTTTCCCATTCTATAAACAGAATCAAATTCATTATCATTGCTCATGGAAAAGGTGTGACTGTTCGCCATTCTCTTAACTTTCAAAAACAAAATATCCCTCCTTGGCCACCACTCCCCTGCATGTGTTCAGGTCTCTGTATCAGAATTTAAGTACAGTAAAAACATGGACTTTCTTTACTTTTTTGACATATCCCCAGTGCTTAGCATTGTGCCAGGCACATATTAAATGCTTAATTAATGGCTTTCTTTCATTTATTCATTCAAAGAAGTTTTAAACTATAGTTTTCTGACCTTAAACAAAGATGTCAAAAACACTCTAAACAAGAAAAGCCAAGCTAGGCAGATGGATGGTTGTTATTCTTGGTTCTTGAAGACGACTAAAATGACAACGCTATGCTATAGTCAAGTTTCAGGGAGTCGGACTATGGCTGATCAGACCAATATGAGCTCGGAATGTTCTACCACAGGTTGGGCACAAATAATCAGTTGTGAACCTTTGGGGTGGATTCTCTAAATTTGTGTATTCTGCATTTCCTTCAAGCTGTTTCAATTCTGCTTTGCTCATAGAGCACAGCACTTTTTCTGATGTGGATATACCATGCTGAGCAGTCCTGTGCCAATGTCTCCCATGTCATACAATCAATTTCAGCAGATAGAAGGCTGGACTTAGAATTGCCTGTGTTGGAGTCAGGAAGACTTGAGTCTAAATCCTGCTTCAGATATGTAATAATTGTGCAGCCCTGGCTGAATTGTTTTAACTTTGTGAGCCTCAGTTTACTCATTTACAAAATAACATCAATATCATAAAGTTGTTCTGAGAATCAAATCATCAGTGAAGTAAAAAAAAAAAGAGCATTTATTAAATACCTATTATGTGCCAGTCCCTATGCTAAGCAATGAAGACATAGAAAAACCCAAACAAAGACAAAAGAAAACAATACTTGTTCTCAAGAAGCTCACAGTCTAATGGAGGTAACAACATGCAAACAACCAGGTACAAACAAGATACACACACACACACACACACACACACAAAGAAGATAATACATAATATGTATATGTGTATGGGTATATAGACGATATATGTATATTGTATACATGTACATATACATGTGTGTATATATACATATACATACACATATGTTTATATGTATATGAAAATTGGAGCTGATGTCAGAGGGTAGACACTAGTATCAAGGGGGAGTGAGAAAGGTTTCTTGTGGAAGGTGAAATTTTAGCTAGGACTTGAAAAAGTCAAGGAAGGAAGGAAATGGATTTGAGGAGAGAGAGAATTCCAGGTGTGTGAGACAGCCAATAAAAATTCAAGGTTTTGGGAGGTGGAGGGCATTGTGTTAGGAAAAGCACCAGTGTCACGGGATTTCAGCATACATAGAGTGAAGTAATGTGTAAGAAGGATGGAAAGGCAGATGGGAACCATGTTATGAAGGGCTTTGTCAAATTAACAGAGGATTTAATTTTTGATTCTGTAGATAAGAAGGAACCATTAAAATTTAATGAGTGGGAGATGGTCAGGATTAAATAATATAACATTTCTAAAGTGCTTCACAAGTCTCAAAGTCCCATATAAATGCTAGATATTGTCACTTGCACATTTGTTATTAATAGTCCCATTCTTAGTATATATCATTAATTGTATTCTATTAAAAATCTTAACATCACAAGGATACTTGAATGATGTGGGCCTGGCCTCAATGCCCTTTTGACTTATTTGGAATATTTGCGAGACTGTAAAAAAGGATTACTTTTTCAAAAGCATCTGTGAATTCTGGCTCTGCTTCAATGCTGGAAATCCAGGATACAACTTTCTCTGATGACAGGCTTTCATTTTTCTGGACATTTGGAAATTTCAAAATCTCCTGAATATTTTCAAGTGCCAGTCTGGTTGCCTTGAGTTTTTGTACAGCTGAATTGAGAGAAAAGAAATGAAACAAAACAAAATACAAGAAATAATCAGATAAATTTTTTTTTATAGAATTTAGAGGTTTACCATGCTTTAAAATATCACCATCTAGAATTTAGCTATTAATACTGATGTCTGGAACATAGAAAGTGCTTAATAAGTGCTTATTGTCCAACAGCATTGACTTATTGATAGGGCTAAAAAATTCAATAAATTAAATTCAATACATATTTATCAAATGTTTACTATGTGCCAGACATTGTGCTAAATGCTGGGGATACAAATAAGAAAAAAGACTGTGCCTGCCCTCAAAGAGCTTACTGTCTAATGAGGGAAGACAACAAACAAGAAGAAGCTGAAAAGGGGGTTGGGGCAGTTACTACCAGGGGTACTCTATGCAATGCCATGCTGTTCCATGTTGTGAAGTCAAAGTCAAATAGAACTGCTGATGAAAAATGGGGTGACCAAGAAGGTTGTGACCATTCTATAAAGGAAGGCTTTGGGAGGAGTTTAGTGGTCTGCCCTTCAGCCCTCCAAGCACAGGGTGCAGACAGCTAAGGGGGAATTGAGAAGGTGCTGAGCATCAAAACCTGAGTCAGTCTTCATGGTGATGAGATTTCAGGCAATTAATTTATCCTGGGCAGGGCATTTTGTTCCCTGGAGTTGAAGCCATATTTGAAAAAGATGGCAATGATAATTTACCTTACATTGAGACTGCTCTCTAAATACCTCTCTCATGCAAAGAGTTTGTTCTCTACTGTCATAGAATGTAAAAAAGAGAAAGATGTAGAAATGTCTTGTCAAGAAAAATAAGAATTGTTCCCATTAGTATTTATTAACATGTTGACACACTCTATTATCATAGAATGCAAAAAAGGGGAAAGACATGGAAATGTCACATAAAGAATAAGAGTTATACACATTATCATTATTTATTGACATATTACTTGATATGTTTAAAGTATTTTGTTTAAAAATAACATATCCCATGTCCTCTAGGAGTTTACAATCTCCTGGGGTGAATAGTGAAGGACACCTTCTTTCCCCCATCTCCAATGCAGAAATTACTTTGTGTTTACTTTTTTTACTCCTCTTTTTAACATTTTATACAACATGGACCCAACATGTCTTCCTAGCCTTACTATATTGGTATTACTATATTGTTCTCTATACCTAATGTGGTTCAGTTAAACTGACCTACTTACTATGGTCCTACTTACTGGCCTCAAATATGACATTCTATCAGAGTGTCTGTAAACTCAGATAAGTATAATACAAATCTAGAAGTAGTGGAAACAAATGAGAGATACAGACAAAATGCTATAGGGAAAAAAGAGGAGGAAGTATCTAAGGATACTGTATACTTTCAGGTTTATTAACTTTTTACCTGACTTCCATTATTTCTTTAAGATGTTATTTAGCATACTAAGTTCTATGAGTAAGAAAAGAGGACATGGCAAAAAAAAAATGGATTTTACATTATAAAAAAACTACTAAATAAAGACTGTTTTAATAGATGAGGCTGTGGTATAGTTGGGAATACAGTACAACTGAATTCAAGTTTGACCCCTGACATTTTTAGTTCTGTCATCTCAGACAAAGTGTTTAATTTCTCTGAACTTCAGTTTTCTCATGTGTCAAGTGGAAATAATGCTACACATACAATTTAACCCTGCCCCCCCCCGGGCTGTTGTGAGAATGACATGAGATCATATATGTGGTATGCTATACACATCAGGTATTACTATTATCTTATTACACATTACTAACTCGTTATACAATTCTAAGAGATAAAGAATGTAGAAGGACTACTACAAATAGAGGAAATGGAGCTCTTGGAAAAATCATAGATTTGGTACAAAGAACTCATTGAAGAAATTGCAACTTGGAGACCTTACTTACTCACAGAATGGTGAGTATGTAGAAGATCCAGTGTCTGAGCAAAAGTTTCCAGAAGCCAACTCTGTAAAAGACATATTTCAAAATAATATAGCTGAAATGTTATTACATGTTACTGCTACCTCCAGATGGAATTCTTAGCATCATAATTTTTTTTTTAGGCAATTGGTGTTAAGTGACTTGTCCAGAGACACACAGCTAGTAAATCATATTTTTTAAAGCACACTCAAATCTAATTTTGAAATCTAATTCTGCTTGAATATAATATATATTTTATCTTAGCATTCTTTAGGTCAGAGTTCCAACTGATTTTTTTTTTCTTTCTGGTTTTAAGCCAATCCATGTTTAAATACGATGCAATGATTACTTTTTGCTCCTGGACAGAACATTGTGTGCTGAGATTTAAAGCAGAGTTACAAGTCAATGGTATCGTTTCTACTAGTTTTATTTTTAGTCAAAGTAAAGAAGGGATAGACAGTGATCAATCATTCCCCACCACTTCTAGCATGTAGAGAAACTTTGATTTTCTCTGTAAGATCCCCTTTGACTTGGTTTTGATTGTGACTGTTTAAAAATTTTTAAATCCTATTGAAAATACTGTACTAAACCCAGTAGGTTCTTTAGTACCTGAAAAAAAAGCGAATAAAAAGTTATTCATCTTGACTATATATGGCTATATTAATCTTTCTCAAATAGTTTTTTTCAGAGCCAGTCCTAGGCAAAATTACAAAGTAGGACATATTCATCTTTAGAAGTCTTGACTGTCTGTTTTCTGGTCCCTATCATGCTTTTTGGCATCCTTTTTCTTTTCCCATTACACTATTGACTGTCATGTCCAGTGCTCTGATACTTTGATCATTACTTTCCCTATATGTCAGATGAATCACTGTGAAACAGATTTGTTTGTTTTTTTCCTTTCTCTCTCTCTTCTTTCTTTCTTTCTCTCTCTCTTCTTTCTTTCTTTCTTTCTTTCTTTCTTTCTTTCTTTCTTTCTTTCTTTCTTTCTTTCTTTCTCTTTCCTTCCTGTGATAGGATAATAGAGAGAGATGAAACATTATCTTTTAAAACTTAAGCATCCATTTAAATATTCTAATGAAAAGATTTTTTCAGTCAGTATAGGTTTCTAAGTTGGAAACATGCAAAATTGCCTGCGGAATTCTTGAAGAGGGAATGTAAGAAGCAAGCTACAATGCAATGATTGCAATCTTTCAAAATACAGTTTCATGATTTTTATTTCTCAACTCTTTCTAAATAGTGAATAGGGAAAAGTAAATTTTTGAGGTGACCCAACTCTGTTTTGTAATATGTTACAAAATACATTATTTGCAAAAGTATTTTGCCTGGCAGCTTAAGTATAGAGCCAGAAGACCTGCATTTGAGTCCTGGATTCCTATTTTTATTTTATTATTATATATGTTTCTTTAGGAAGTCATATCACCTTTTGATTTGCAGTTTCCTCTCTACAAAATGGAGACTTTTATACTTAGTGTCACCAGGGCAAGGATCAAATTAGACCATATATGTAAATAAAGGACTATGTAGTGATAATATTCAACTCTCTAAAACTGGGTTTTCTGATCTGTAACATGGAAATTTACACTATCACTTTCAAAATGTAGTATGAGGAAAGCTCCCTGTAGATACGCTAGTAATAACAGGAATATAAACTGTTGCCTCTATCATCACCATCATCATCTTTCTTATAAATATCCCACTGTGTCTGTTTTGTTGCATGAGATTCAGCTGTTAAAAACAATTTTTGAATCAGTTTATCTTTCTGCTGTAATTTGTCCTTAGTTCACTGTCAAATTCAGCACTGACCAAATCCAGCAGTACTGGTTGATATGGAATGAAGTAACAACTTAGGGTAAACCAATGAACATAAAATATGGATTCTCAATTTTTTTTTTAGCTAGCCAAGTTCTTTTAACTAAGAAGTTTTTTCTATCCCAGCAAACATATCCATCACACATATACCTAATCACATATACTCATTCATCAGATGGAGGGAGGGAGGGAAGGCATTCACTAGAGAGAACATCAGTTATGTTATTCATGATTCATTAGCTATGATGTTACTGTTCAAAAAGACAACTTAATAAAAAATACACATCTTCAAATTCTCCTCAATGGTTCTGATGAGGTGTTCCAAGTTCATTTGGCTACTTCTTTCCAATTATGCATCTTAACAAAAGGTAGTTAATGGCTTAGGCCATTTTCTTTTGCATGCAGTCCTCTTCCAAATCTCAAATTCAATCCATAGGTGAGATCACACAGCAAAGTCAAATCCTGAATTTGAGGACTGCCGGTAACTGGTGAGGCTAAACAGGCACATTCTTACTGCCTTTTACAATTAACAGAATTCAGTCTACCTCTTACAATCTTGTCTCTTTGAGATGTCTTCTATCTTATCTTTTGCAACATTAGCTGTCACAGTTTGCCTTCTTCTGGCCTTTATCTATTCACTTTAATTAAAGTTACTTCCACAGATCTTTCACAACCACACCCACATACACACCCTGCCAAAAAAAACAAACAGAAAACAAGCAAACCTGACAACTGTAACACACAAGCTCATGCAGACCTTTGCATTCCTGAGCACTTCAACCAAATATAAACAGATTTTAACTTGCCTTTATATGTACTTTTAAGTCAACTATTAAAAGAATCAATCTTAGTTGACATAGTCATTCTTCCACAGAATCGTGGAATTTAGAGCTGAGAAGCAGCACAAAGATCATTTAGTTCAACCACTTTATCTTACAGACGAGGCAACTAAGGCCTGGATGGGTTAAGTTACTTGGCACTGTTCATAGAGGCAGTAAATATCAAAGCAGAAATTTGAACTCATTTACTTGGATTTAAAATCCAGCTTGCACCATTCCCTCTACTAAAGTTATTCTCCTTTGTCTCATTGTGGCATAAAAGTGATTTTGAGTTCAAGATTGCTTAAATAGAACTTAAGCTCTGGCAGGCCCCTCCAAGTTGTAAAAGCTGGAAGCATAGGCCTAGATACCAACAGTGTACATTAGATAAAGATAGATAAAACACTTACTAAGAGCTTATTAGGCACCAGGCACTACGCTAAGTGCTAGAGATATAAATAAAAATATGTTAGAAAGCCCATTTCTCAGAGAACTTACATTTTAATGGGAGAAGATATCATATAAAAGAAAAATAGAGGATACAGGAGAAAGGAGGAAAAAACACTATGTTTTAGTGTGGCTGGAGATATCTAGAAAATGCTATAGAGGTGTGTAACCAATAAGATAAATCCAAATCTTTGCAGGTTTCTTTGAAACCATTATTTCACTTGATTATGCATTTTTATTACAATTTTTTTTTCTTTTTTTAATGGAACTGTAAGTGGAAGAGAAAATGAGTGCTTTTTAATTTAAACTAGGCCTACACAACATGCAGCCCATCAAAGGATTTCTGGTGACTGCCGGAAAAATGTAGAGGATGTGACCATGGTTCAGTCATTCTCAAGCCCCCAGGCAATTTTCAGATAGAGATAATAAAGCTTACTGGCCCATTTAGCAGAAGTAAGTAAGAGGCCCAATGCCCTTGGGCAGGCCTGCACAACATACCCTGCAGGCCATATGTTGTGCAGGTCTGATTTAAACAAACAAAAATGCAAGGCCAAATTTGGCCTATGAAAGCACAGGGAGGTTCCAGGGGCTTCATCCAAGGACTGGCCTACTAAAGTTTAGAGAAGTCCATTAAGTGATGAAATTTAGGGGCCACAGTACATCCCATTCACGAAATCACTGTTTTTGTATTAACCCCTGACACATCAAAATTACTTTTTAATTCCTCATAATACGTGCTTAATAAAAACCTATCAAGTGATTGATCCAGTCATAATCCTCCTATTGAGAAACAGTACGACCTCAGAGTCAAGACAACCCACCCATCACATGTTATTGGCTCTATGTGCCAGGACAAGTCATTTATCTCTCTCTCCCAGTCAGTGCCATCGAAGTTGCAGAATAGCATTAGTAGAGAGTTTTCTCCATTGTAGTCCTCCACACCAGTGGCATCACAGGTCCAGTCTAAAAAATCATCATGGCTGTCAATTAAGAGTCAAACCAGTTCGTAATTGTTCTCTGCAACAGCTTCCATGAAAATAAAATTATTGCCAATATGAGATAAGGTAAAGAATGTGTAGAGAAAGAGAAGCAAAACAATATTGTGTTTTTTGTTACAGAGGTTCTTTTTCCTTTTCCTTCTCAATGGAGAGGAGAGGAAGAGAAAGAAAATGCCTGTTCATTTAAAACAAAATTATGTGTAGACAAATAAGAGGTATAAAATCCATCTGAAGACAGGAAAGCTTTTGTTTTATTTGGCAACTAAACAAAGTCAGGCTTTTAATCTAAATATGTTTGTTGAATAAAACTTCATCTTGGTATGTCTAAATTCTGTCCGAAAGCACCGTGATACAGGCAGGTACTACTGTGTGAAAAATGAAAACTCGGTTACATGTTATGTGGAAATCAGTTTCATTTACTATTGAATTACCTTTTCTTTTTCCCATTTCTCTTTCTCTTGATTAACTTGGAGGAGGAGTTTGTCCTTTTCTTGCATTAGTTCATCTGTTTTCTCCTCCAAAATCTACACATTTGGGAAGAAGATGCATACAAGAAAGAATACGGTAAACTAATTTTTTGTTATTCTAGTGTTAAGTGAATAAACTTATTCTTTAGCTTCTCCCTCACCCTCTTCCCAATGCTGCATAAAATATGAATTAATGTCTCTGAAAGAATAAAAAGCAAAATGTCATTCAAATAAAGTCAGTTTGGTGGGGTAGTAGATGGAATGTTGGACGTGAGTTTGAATCCTGCTTTAGACATTTACTAGTTTACAATTCTGGGCAAGACTCTTTTCTCCTCTCCTTCCAACACCTCCTCTCCCTTTCCCTCTAAATGACTTTAAATCCCAAATCTGTATCTCTAGTCTCAACCTCTTTTCTGATGTTCAGACACATATAGACAACTAAGGGATATATCTCCACTTGAAATTCCCCAAGCACTTCAAAGTCAAAATTAAGGATAGTGGAAAGAGCACTGAAATTAGGGGAATAAGAACTGAGTATGAATGTCACTTTGGCTATTCACTAACTGTGTTTCCTTGGAAAATCACTTATTCTTTCTGGGCCCCAGTTTCCTCATCAATAATATGAGGGGATTGTACCAAATAACCATTAAAGTAAGGTCCCATCTAGCTTTAGACGTATGATCAAGGCTTTTACATTAATCTTTAAACACGATTTGCTTTCTGACACAAGCCTTAATGAATAATTTTGGAATCTGGTACAAATATCAAAACAAGGACAAAAAGCATGAAAGGTATCCTCACATAAAGTTTAAAAACCAAATTCTGCTGAGCAAGTTGTTAGAAGGAGACTTTTTTTGGGGGTATTCCAAATCTTGGGATACAAGACCCCAAATGGAACAGAACTCCCTAAATAGGGGGGAGAGAGAAACCTTGGGATATCATCTTTTCTTGGGAGGTCATTAGAGAAGGAACTAGTTGGCAGTGTGTCTGGGAAGCTTGCCTAGGAAGTGGCCTTGGGAGTCACCTCCTATTTAAATAATAATTCTTTCAAACTAAGTTCTAAGCTCAGTTGTTTCTACTTGCTGAAGTAATACAAGTGTTGTCAGGTTCCCTCAACTTTTGATGCCATAGTACAAAACTGTCCCACTCTAGTTACCATTCCGCTTTTGACCTCACTAATTCTGGAAATGGAACCATCTTTCATCCCGCCTCACATGTTTGAAACCTTTATGTTATTTTTGCTTTTTCTTCTCACTTTCACTTACCACATCCAATCTAAAGTTACCAAGTCCCACCAATTCTGTCTCAGCTATTTGTCACATTGATTCCTTCTTCTTTATTTTTATGGCCACTAGTCTAATACAGGTCTTTTTTTTTCCTTCTTACCATCCACTAGTATCCTCCTAACAGATCTTCCTACGCTCACTCTTGGCCAACTTACCCCATCCAAACTTCATATTATTGCCAGACTAATCTTCATTATGTATCATATCACTCCTCTGCTTAAGTATTTTTTATTGGTTGCCTATTGTTTATCAAGCAAATTTCAAATTCCATTGTTATTCATGACTCAAATCAGGCAGGCTGTCAGTCACTAAGCATTTATTAAAAGCTCTGGGCCAGGCACAGTACTGAGTCTGGTCTTACAAAGAGAGACAAAAACACTATCCCTGTCCTAAAGGAGATCACAATGTAAAGGGGCAATGGAAAGGAGGAGTAAGTAAAGGAATTTGAAATTGCAATCTTTCTCTGCTCTCTATTAGCCTGTGTAGAGTAAAAGTCATTAAGGAGTTGTTAAGTGCCTACTATATGTCAGGCACTGTGGTAAGCACTGGAAACATAAAACAAGGCAAGAGAATCTTATCAAATCTCTTTGCTTTCTAGGAGCTCACAGTCTCATGGGGGAGGTAATATGTAAACAACCATGTACAAACAAGATTTATATAGGATAAATTGGAAATAAACAGAGAGAAGGCACTAGAATTAAGGGGTGCTGGGAAAAGCTTCCTGTAAAGGTAGGATTTTATCTGGGACTTGAAACCAGGAGGTGGTTATGAGAATGGGGAGCCTTCCAGGTGTGAGGGACAGACAGTGAAAATTCCTGGAGAATCTTATTGAGGAACAGTAAGGAAGCTAGTGTCCCTGGATTACAGGTTATGAGGCAGAGTGTAAAGTGTAAGAAAATGGAAAGGAGGTTACGAAGGGCTTTGAACATCAAACAGAAGATTTTATATTTGATCCTGGAGGTGAGAAGAAGCCACAGGAGTTTACTGAGTACGGAAGTGACATAATCAGATCTGTGCTTTAGGAAGATCACTTGGGCACAGCAGAGTGGAGGATGGACAGGGGTAGGCAGAGCCTTGTGTTAGGCAGAACCATTAGCAGGCTATTGACATAGTCCAGGCAAGAGGTGATAAGGGCCTGTGGTAAGGTGGTGTTGGTCAGAGGAGAGAAGGGGACATATGTGAGAGTTGCTATGAAGGTAAAGTTGAAAGGCCTTGGAGACAGATTGGATTTGGGAGATGAGAGAGAGTGAGGAATTGAGGATGATGCCTAGATGAGCCAAGAAAGCATGGCAGAGTGCATAGAAAATCAGCATTGCAATGAGGAATATCTGGGTTGAACTTTGGCCTCTGACATTTACTGGTTAGGTAACCCTGGATATCTCACTTAACTTCTCAGTGCTCTGGGCAACACTTTTAGAGAAATTCCAGACTTGCAGTAGTAGAGATATTATCTTCACCTGGGAGTTCTCTGTACCAATGAAATCACAGGTTCACTGCCTATGCCTATATGTATTTAAACACTTTAATGCCATTTGAAAAAAGAAGGTTTTCTTTGCTCTCCTGGAGGCAGTTTACGTGTTTATTTTACCTTCTTCGTGTCTTTCCAGGCTCTGTTTTTCTTGTTGACTTGCTCCTGGTATGCTTCAAATCTCACTCTTAGTGTCTTTATCTTGCTGCTGTAGTCATTCTTTAGAGTAGAGAAAATGTTTCAGAGTTCTCGCATTGCAATAGCTTAGGGTTGTTTGTTATTGTTTTTTTACAGCCTGGAAACAAGCTATCATTTACTATGATCCTACAGGATCCTTAATAAATACCCTGGCATCTTAACCTGACAGGTAACAACACTCAGAGTTAAAAATGTCTTCTAACCTTATTCTTTCCTACATTGATGTTAGCCCATTTCCTTTTTATTGTTCTATTGCAAGTGACAATGAAGAAAAGTTATTAACTCTGTACCTCCTAACACTCCATGTACTTGAAGATGGATAGTAAGTCACTCTTCAGCCAAACTGTAATCACCACCTGCCTTAAAATAAATAGTAACAGGAGAGGGTTCTGCAGGCATCTCTTGTTTTAATCAATGTGCACACATATCAGACTTGGAAAGGTTACCTTTTGGCTTCAAAAATCTAATCTGAGTAGCTTAAATACAGAGCTTTAACAGAAGTTAACATTAAACATAAAACCCCAACGGTGCTCTGTACACATGTATTTTGGTCCTGATGATCTTTCTCGCTCTTTCAAAACTCAAGGGATTTTTCTTTAAATCACATTTTATTTAGTAATTCTCTTTAACTCCTTGTGAGTAAGTAGAGTGATGAATGTGGTGACTGAGAAAGTTCATGCTTGAGTAGGATGTGAAATGCCCAAGATATTTGTAGGTAAATGTTGTATTCATTTTAGTACCCCAGATGTCATTGACCCTCACATTGATGTATGCCTCCCAGTCTTCTTCCCTTATCTTTTCTTGATTCTTAATAAAGTAAAATAATATCACAGAATAACAGAACTTGAAAGTTGGAAGGGATCTCAGAGACCATCTAGCCAAACTAATATCTCACTATAAAATATCCAAGTGGTCATCCGGTTTCTCTTGAAGACCTCCAAGTAAGGAGAACCCTACTCCTTCTCTAGGCAACCCATTCCACTTTTGAATAGCTCAAATTCTTGAGGAATTTGAAGTTTAATTCAGTAAGCAATCACAGAATCACAGTGACAGAATTTGAGAGTTGGAAGTAGTCTAACTTATTTATGGAAATATACATGGAAATAAAAAATCCCCACTCTAATATTGCTAAAAATTTGTTAGAAGCCTTTGTTAGAAGATCTCCAAGGAAAAAGAAGCCACCACTTTTCCTGGAAATCTATTTCATTTTTGAACAGTTCTAATTGTTCATTTTTTTATATGAAGTCAAAATTTACTTCTTTGTAACTTCTAACTATTCTACCTAATTCTTTTGTCAGTCTCTCCTTTAAATGATAGTCTTTCAAATAATTGAAGACAATTATTATGTCACCCATGAGTCTTCTCATCCCATCATTGATTTTCACTTTAATATGTAACAGAACCATCAGGCTTTTTAAAATGTTCTGTGTTAAAGAAGGAAGCACAAAAAGAAAGCATCAAAGATCATACGAGAAAATTTTAGAATCACGCAATTTCAGGGTTGAAAGGGATCCCAGTAGCCATCCAGTCTTCTGATACCATGTCTAAAAAGTATATATACTACTATATATAGGACAAATGGTCAGGCAATTTTGGCTTGAAGATTTCTGAAGGGGGGTTAAGGATAGGGGACTTGCTTCTTCCCCAGGGCAGCCCATTCCACTTTTAGATAACTTTAAATGTTATGAAGTTATTCCTCATAGTAGTCTACATTAACCTCTTTGGAATTTTGACCTATGGCTCCCATTTCTGTCCTCTGGGACCAAACAGAAAAGACAAATCCCTTTACCAAGTGATAGCCCTTTAAATATGTGAAGACAGTGATGATGTATCCTTAACTTGCAGATGGAGAAACTAAGATACATTAAGGGGAAATAACTTCTCAAAATGACCCAGCTAGTAAATAGCAGAGCCAGGAAATGAGCCAAGGCCTTTTTTGAAATTAAGCAGTTTATATGTTTTATCTGGAATAATTCGTAAGTTCACAAAATACTCAATATAGAGCTTCTAGTTTTGTTATTTGCTATCTGGGTGATCTTGGACAAGTCACTAAACCACTATGGGACTCAGTTTCCTCACCTTTCAAATGAAAGTTTTAGGTTCTAAAATTCCTTTGGTCCCTTCCAGGTCTAAAATTTGTGAACTTATTTAATCCTATGTTAATGTAGGTGGATGGGTTTTTTGGGGTGGATGGGTGGAGAGTTTCCCATAATAATGAAAAAGTAATATTTTCAGTGGCTAAATGCCATCCCATCTTAGGAACTTACAGAATATTCTCAATTGCAAAGGACTTAAAACAGTGTCTGGCATATAGTAAATGCTTAATAAAAGCTATTTCAGCCTTATGGGCAACTAGGTGGTGCAATGGATAGAGAACCAGGTCTGGAATCAGAAGATCTGAATTCAGATATGGCCTCAGATCCTTTCTAGCTGTGTGACCCTGGGCAAGTCATTTACCCTCCTGTTTGTCTCAGTTTCTTCAACTATAAAATGGGGATAATAGCAATACCTACTCCACAGGATTTCTGTGAGGATCAAATGAAATAATATTTGTAAATTGCCTGGCACTAGTAAGCATGATAAATGTTTATTCCCTCTCTCCCTTCCTTCTTAATTTGTCATGTTTGTCATATACATACACACACATACAGGAGCTTTCATCTGTCACTATAACATGTTTGGGATTATATAAAAATATACTATAAATGAATAAATCATATGCCCATTTTCTTAACTTTTACTTAAAACAAATTTCAATCTTATTGGTAGGTTACTTTAACTGAGGACAGTAAAACATATCCATTCAAAATATACCAAGACAAGTCAAGTGCAGAGATTTCTTTTAGTAGCCTGAGAAGCAATTTGTCTTCCACTTGTCCTCAGGTAGGCAGCTAAGTGGGATAATGGATAGAATGCTAGATCTGGAATCAGGAAGACCTATATTCAAATCTAGCCTCATATAAATTGCCAGCCATGTGGCTCTGGGGAAGTCACTTAAACTCAGTTTTCTCACCGATCAAATGGGGATAATAATAGCACCAATGTTAATGAGGATAAAATGGGATAATATTTGTAAGGCACATTGTAAACCTTCAAGTGCTATATAAATCTTGCTATTATTATTATTTTATTATTTTTGTTATTGTTATTAGCATTCATCACAAGCCTCAACTGTTATTGAATCTTGTTTCCTAATGCAACTCTGATAAAGCACCTTGTCACTGTGTTGTGTTTGTTCTTAGGGAGCTGCCCTCATTTCTATTTCTTTTTTATTTAATTTTATTTTATTTTATTTTATTTTATTTTATTTTATTTTATTTTATTTTATTTATTTTTTTAGTGAGGCAGTTGGGGTTAAGTGACTTGCCCAGAGTCATACAGCTAGTGAGTGTTATGTGTCTGAGGCCAGATTTGAACTCAGGTACTCCTGACTTCAGGGTCGGTGCTCTATCCATTGCGCCACCTAGCTGCCCCCTCATGTCTATTTGTTGCACATCATCACATAATGCATGTACTTCCCCAAGGTAGTCATTCTGCTTTTGCACAGCTCTGTTAGAAAGGTGTTCCTTACTTTCTTTTTCCTCTCTGGATGTCTTCAAGTAGAGATCAGATGATGACTTGCCAAGGTTGGGTTGGCCTCAGTGGTCTCTGAGGTGCTTCCCAGCTTCCTAATAAATATTGCTCTTCAAAGAAGAAAGGGACTGCCTTGGGAGGTCATGGGTTTCCCATCACTGCAGGTCTTAAGGTAAAGACTGGATGTCTACTCATCAGGGATTTTGTAAAAAGAGATTTTATTCAGATGGTAGTTGGAGTTTGTTGGAGGCTTCTGAGGCCTAAGATTCAATGATTATATAATCTAGAATAGTAATGTGAGGACACATTACATTGTGAAGTCCATGATAAGTTTCTTTTAAGGTAAATTTTATGAGACTTAATAAATTAGACTTTAAAGTTAAATAGAAATGCTATTTCTTACTATAATATACCAATCGTTTCCATCAGTTACCTTCTCCTCTCTTCTTATTAACTCTATTTTTTTGGTAGTTTGTATGTATTTGAATTGCATTTGGTGCATGTCCTTTGTCATCTGCAAAGATTCAGAAGACATGCTATAGTCATATGTAGTTAAAAAAAATACGATAGGAATGTAAATTATGGCCACCAAAATGTCTTTCTGTAATCTTCTCATTCAATTCAATCAATTATGCACATAGCCCATTTTCATTATGCTCCTGGTGAAGATGAGTTCTCCTCTCCCTTCTCAGTTCACAGAGTCGGCTGTTGGGAACAAACTCTTAACACTCCTTCATATCTAACCTTTGAAGCAAAGGGTACTGCTATCAATAAAAGGGTCTGTTCCTTCCTGGATATTGAGAGAACCTGGAAAAACTGCCTACCCTGCTCGGTTCTGCCATGTTACATAAACTATCTAATCCAGAGGCTTGAAGTGGTCAGTGACAGAAATATCAGGAAGTGCAGAGGGACCTAAAAGTTAAATCATCAATGAACTGGTTATGGAACAATGAAAATATCCACAAAATATGACTCCTTCTTCCCTGTTGGTGTTGATTCTAGCTTAAATACAACGTACCACAAAAATAATTAAGGTATTTTAGGAACGTTTTCCAACATTTTGTTGGAAAATTATTTACTCTGTCAATATTGTGATCATTATTAATCTTATTATTCATACTCTATAATCAGCTTACAGTGACTGGTATTTGAAACGCAGTACTATTCAGATTAACCAAACCCAATTATCTAACTTTAATAAGGACTACTAAATTATTCCATTGAAGATTATGATACAAGAGACATTTTGTAATAGGAAAATTCTGTATCAGTTATTCCATGCTGATATCTTATTGTGAAATATTTATATAAATATTTATTTAAAATATATTTACCAAAGAGTTTGTATCTAATAATGAATCTCTCATACATATCAATATCTGTATTGGAAATGATAAAACCTGGACTGTGATTGTTAATGGTAGAATAATAGAATCATTTAAACACAATCACAAAATAAAAGTGATTTGGCTTTATACCATACCAAACAATCAAACACCAGCAAGGTCTTAAATAATGCTCACCTCACTTCATTATTTATCTCATTTTATAATTGAATTTTTTTAATCAATAAAAATCTGCCTTGGTTCCCTCTCCCCTTCCCCCACTAAAAAAGAAAGAAAAACAAAATGTGTGTTGTAAAACATGTGTAATCAAGCAAAACAAATTCCTGTGTTGGCTATTTTCCACATGTACATACACACATATAATTAAAAAATAGGTATGTATATATATATATATATATAAATGTGTGTATGTATATATGCACAAAATGTGCATATGTATATGTATGTATACATAATTATGCATATATGTGTCTCCTTTTGTACTTTTAAGTCTTTCACCTTCCTATAAAGAAGTGGATAGCATGCCTCATCATTAGTCCTATGGAGTTGTGTTTTTTCATTGTGCTGATTAGATTTCCTAAATCTTTACAATTTTTTTTTTCATTGTATAAATTGTTCTTCTAGCTCTGCTCATTTAATGCTGCGTAGGTTCATATGAGTCTTTGGTTTTCTCTGAAACCACCCCTTTCTCATAATTTCTTACAGCACAATAGCATTTCACCACACTTATATATAATTTTTATTCAGCAATACCTCAATTAATGTGCACTCCCTCAGTTTCCAATTCTATGCCACTTCAAAAAGGACTGTGAATATTTTTGAACATCTTGATTTTGAGTTTATTTTGCTTTGGGCTAATCCCTTCCTTTATCTGCCTTCACTTTAATTTTCCCTTCTCCCTTTCCCCTCCCTTTCCTATTTCCTTATTGAGTGAAATATGCTTCTGTACTCCATTCTCTCTGTGTGTATTCTTTCCTTTTTTTGACTAGTTCAGATGGGAATGACATTCAAGTGTCAGCTGCCCCACCCCTTTCCTTTCCCTCCTTTGTATAGAGTTCTGCAATAATGTGAGATGATTTTCCCTAACCTTTTCTCTTCCCTCCCCTAGTGCATTTTTCTTCCCCTCTTTTCCCATTCTTTTAAGATCATCAAGACATAACAGAACCACTCTTAAGTTTACTGCTTAATTAGACTCCTTCCATGACCTCTAATGATGATATGGTTTAAAGGGGACAGATGTATTTTCTCTTCACATTAGTTTGTAATCAATTTATCTTTCTTTAGTCATTTAGGATTGTTTGGTCATCATTCACTTCAGAGAAAAACAAAACCCAGAAAACACTTGTAAATGACCAGACCTGCTTTGAAAGGGCCTATCCAGACATATTTGCATGGTACTGTATTAAAAAAATAGACTGATTCAGTACGCCTGATATCTTGTTCCAGCTTTGTTTCTGATTACTTGTATGACTGGTCAAGTTGCAACATTTGTTAGTGCTTTAGCTTCCTCCTCTGAGAGAGATTTGGATGAGATGACCCTAAAATTTCCTTTCACCTTCAAAATTATATGATTCTATACATGGTGGGAAATTCCCTTCAATTACAATATTTGAAACAGTTAAATGAAAACATCTTGGCTGAATTTGTTTCTACCACACTATGTTCACCGAAAGTTGACCGTCAGATATGAGTGCCACGTCCTCCGAATCTAAAGAACTTACCATGTCCAATTTCAGAAAACAGTTTAAATCGACATCCATTTTCTTTCAAATGGATTACTGAATAATAACTCCAAGAAAGCCAGGACCATTGTCTTTATCATAAATCCCATTCTCCAGAGCCTAGTAAAGTGCTTCATATACACACAATTAATTGTCAATAAATGCTTATTAACTAAGTTGGAATTTTAAAATTGGCTGATTCAAATACCTGTGGTTTAGCTGCAGGTGTGTATGTTTTGCATAGTCCTTTATCAACAATTGACATATTATGGTATTATTAAAATTATTTATGTAAGGTAGACTTATGAAAGAAGAGATTTCCTGTAGCATTCTTTACTTTATTTATGGAAAAGAATCCATAAATCTTTCTCAAATTGTTCTGACTTTTAAATAAAGTTGAAACTTTTTTGCTGGCATTAAAATGGAACAACCACAGGCAACCATACTACTTTTCTAGACTTATCTCCTTTTGTTCCTTTCCATGTTCTCCAGTCCAATCATACTGTTCTATCATCTACCCAGGGAACACCCAGAACACTCACTTGCCTTTGCTTACAACATCCTATCTCCCCCTTCGCTGTTTGTTGAATTCCTAACCATCCTTTAAAATTCAACTCAAATGCTGCCTTCTCCATTAACGTTTTCCTTAATCCTCTTGGTCCATGATGTAATTTCATTTTTGCTATAGTATCTTGAGTACCTAGCATAATACTGAGTCTCATAACATGATAGATACTTAATAAATGCCTGTTGGTTGAGTAATTGACCTTATCCACAAATATATGTTTTGCAACTTTCTGATTTATGTGATATTGCATATTATATTTATTTGTGTTTCTGTTTTATCACTATACTAGACTATAAACTCCATGAGGTCAGGGCCAGTGTTTTATTTAAATTTTTAAGTTGTGAAGATCAAAGTACAATGCTTTATATTCAGTATGTAATTAATGAATATTGAATGAAATGAATGAATGAATGAGTGAATGAATGAATGAATGAATTAAAGTGTGAATAAATGCAAAATCTTTCTCCATGACTCTAAGGCATACCACAGCAGCAAGTGCAACAAGGGAGGGACCTTTCTTTAGCTGAGGTCAAACCTAAGCTAAGAATTTGTCCCATTTCCTTCAGGACAGCCCCAAATTAAGCTTCAGGACTTAAGGGCAAGGATAAAGGAAAATACAAGCCCCAGAGATCTTTTTAAGCCTGAAATATTTTTCCTGAAGAGTGGCTCAAAAATAGGAGAAATATAATAGCATTGTGTTTCCACAAAGACTGTGAGCATTGCTGTATTAGCAATTAGGCTTATGTATGAAAATTCATAAAGAGATATAAGACGCATCATAGTTTGCTTACAGATATGAACAAGTTCTATGGAAACCTATTACAAATAATTTAACCCTTTACTACCACTTCCCTCACGGCCTCCCTAGGACTTAGCTTAGAATGTACATAAACATTTACTATTAGGTTGCTGTGCTTGTATGCTATGCCTATAAATGCCTCAGTTCAAAATATCTACATCCAAATTTATGTATGCAAATTTATTTAGAATCACTTGTATTTATATCTGCTTCCCTAGAAATTATTATTGCCCAAAGACAATTATTAACATCCCACCCCTTTTTTTTGTCTTTACCTTGGTGATATAAGCTTTAGCCAATGCATAAGGGATATATGGCTGCTTGGTTGGGAAGATGTTGAGCTCAGTTGGCCTCTGGTTTCTTTCATCAGTTATTCTGAAATTGTTTTGAATTTCTACAGAAGATATAAAATTTTAAATGAATTAATACAGGATAACATTTATTAGGCGCTTAGTATTTGCAAAGCAAGGTATGTTTCATAATGAATATACTTATATGCAACATTTCCTATCGTTTAATGGGACCATGGATAATAGAAATTTATGTAGAGTGGCATACAAAATTGTATATAATTGTAGATTTTTAAAAAGACAAAAAAATGTGAAATCCATGTTCAAATATGTTGGTTTCCTTCTTATTCAAACCATCCCTTGATAGTATTAAAATATACATTACTCAAATTTTGATGAATAGCATTGCTGCTAATGAATAAATGGTGAATCATAAATCTAAATTCATTAATATGTTCATGATTAGATTTTGGAGAGTTGGGATTTAAATTATTCTATTTAGATTTCACTCTGGGGAAAAATAAATAGAAAACCTCAAAATAACTCATTTTCCCCCCTCTAATAACTAGATCAGAATAGAATCCTCTTATCTAGAGTTGTAAAATCATCACATTTTAAAGTTTATGGATTAGGCATTGTTAACCCCTCATTTTTCAGGTGATAAAATTAGTTGTGACTTACCTAAGGTCACATGTATAGCTAGAACTATCTATATACATATCTATCTAGCTCCATCTATCTATCTATCTATCTATCTATCTATCTATCTATCAATATGCTTGACACATAATTTGAAATTGAACAATTATAGGTGGCTATCTGGATCCATATTCCTTTCAAGTTAAACTAGTGGTAGTTTTGGCTTATCTGTAACAGGAATTTCTTTTGGAACTGTGGCATTCTACTACCATTTGTGGTGAGTTTGTGATTCTCTAGCCCATTTAGAATGTTTTATATGGCATACATACACATACACATGCACACAGAGACACAGAATTACAGAATCTCAGAATAAGAAGGGACCTTAGAGGTACCTATCCTCAGCCAGCTTAGAACAGCAACATAATAGCTAACATTTCCATAGTGCTTGCTATGTGCCAGGTGCTGTGTTAAGTGCTTTATAACTTATCTCATTTGATCTTCACAATAACCCTAGAGGGAGGTGCTATTATTATCCCCATTTTATAGTTGAAGAAAAAGAGGCAAATAGGGGTTTAATGACTTGCCTAGGGTCACACAGCTAGTAAGTGTCTAAGGCTGGATTTTAACTCAGATCTTCCAGATTCCTGATGCAGCACTCTATTCACTTTGCCACCTAGCTATCAGTTTTATGGATCAGGCCAGATTTGAACTCAGGAAGATGAGTTTTCCTGACTCCAGGCCTAGTACACTATCCACTGTGCCATCTCGTTGCCCAATTTTTACATTCTTATATTTCTGTTACATCACGCTGTGCAATTAGGTAGCATGGTGGATAGAGTGCCAGGCCTAGAGTCAGGAAGACCTGAATTCCTGAGTTGTGTGAGCCTGGGCAAGTCACTTACGCCTATTTGTCTTAGTTTCTTTATCGGTAAAATGGCTGGAGAAGGAAATGGCAAACCATTCCAGTATCTTAGCCAAGAAAACCCCGAATGGGATTATGAAGAGCTGGACATGACTGAAATATAACTAAACAATAGCAAAAATGTGATCTTTTTAAAAAAATATTTTCTCTCTGCTTTTGATGAGGAGAATCAACAGTTCAGAGTGGAGAGAAGGGCATCTATAAGATTTTGCATCTTAGAAGTAAGACTGTCATTGGAATCAGAATCTGAACTTATATGCCAATGGCATCATCAGTTAGTTTAGTGGCTTAATTTTCTAGGTATCTGTTCATTTGTCTATTCAATGAAAGGGCTGGACTGGATGACTTCCAAACTTCCTAACTTTATATAAATTTGTTTATTTTTAGTTTTCAACATTCCTTTCCACAAGTTTTTGAGTTCCAAATTTTCACCCCATCTCCCCCCTTCCCCCACCCCAAGATGTCATGCATTCTGAATATCCCTTCCTCTACTCTGTCCTCTCCTCTCTCTCTCTCTCCCCTTCTCTTATCCCCTTCCCCTTCTATTTTCCTGTAGGGCAGGATAAACTTCTGTACCCCATTTCCTATATTTATTTCCCAGTAGCATGTGAAAACATTTTTTTAAACATATGTTTTTAAAACTTTAGGTTTCAAATTTTCTCTCTTCCTCCCTCCCCACCCACCCTCATTGAAAAGGCAAGCAACTCAATATAAGTTGTACATGTGCAGTTATGCAAAACATGTCCATAGTAGACAAGTTGTGAAAAACTAACTCTATTTCCCTTAATCCTATCCTGCCCTCCCATTTATTCTATTCTTTCTTTTGACCCTGTCTCCTCAGAAGTATTTACTTCTGATTAACCCCTTTCCCAATCTGCCCTCCTCTCTATCATCCCCCTGCTCTCTTGTCCCCTTTCCCCCCTATTTTCCTGTAGGGTAAGACAGATTTCCATACCCAATTGAATGTGTATGTTATTCCCTCCTTAAGCCAAATCCTATGAGAATAAGATTCACTCATTCCCTCTCACCTTTCCCCTTTTCCCCTTCCACTGTAAGAGACTTTTCTGGTTTTTTTTTGTGAGATAATTTACCCCATTCTACCTCTCCCTTTCTTCTTCTCGAGTATAATCCTCTCTCATTCCTTAATTTTATTCTCCAGATATGACCCCTTAATCTTCAGCTCACCCTGTGCCCTCTATCTATCTATCTACATATACATACATATAATTTTTTTCCTCCAACTACCCTGATACTGACAAAGGTCTCATGAGTTATAAATATCATCTTTCCATGCAGGAATGTAAACAGTTCAATCTTAATAAGTCTCTTATGATTTCTCTTTCCTGTTTACCTCTTCATGTTCCACTTGAGTCCTGTATTTGAAAGTCAAATTTTCTATTCAGCTCTGGTCTTTTCATCAGAATGCTTGAAAGTCCTCTATTTCACTGAATGACCATTTTTTCCCCTGAAGGATTATACTCAGTTTTGCTGGGTAGGTGATTCTTGGTTGTAATCCTATCTCCTTTGCCCTCCGGAATATTATATTCCATGCCCTGGTCCTTTAATGTAGAAGCTGCTAAATCTTGTGTTATCCTGATTGTGTTTCCACAGTACTTGAACTGTTTCCTTCTGGCAGCTTGTAATATTTTCTCCTTGACCTGGGAACTCTGGAATTTGGCTACAATATTCCTAGGAGTTTTCCTTTGGGGATCTCTTTCAGGAGGAGATCTGTGGATTCTTTCAATTTCTATTTTGCCCTCTGGTTCTAGAATATCAGGGCAGTTTTCCTTGATAATTTCTTGAAAGATGATGTCTAGGCTCTTTTTTTGATCATGGCTTTCAGATAGTCCAATAATTTTTAAATTCTCTCTCCTGGATCTATTTTCCAGGTCAGTTGTTTTTCCAATGAGATATTTCACATTGTTTTCTAATTTTTCATTCTTTTGGATTTGTTCTACTGTGTCGTGATTTCTCATAAAGTCACTATCTTCCAATTGCTCTATTCTAATTTTTAAGGAAGTATTTTCTTCAGTAAGCTTTTGGACTTCCTTTTCCATCTGGCCAATTTTGCTTTTTAGGGCATTTTTCTCCTCATTGGCTTTTTGGACCTCTTTTGCCATTTGGGTTAGGCTATTTTTTAAGGTGTTATTTTCTTCAGTATTTTTTTGGGTCTCCTTTAGCATCACTCTCAGTTTTTCCTCTACTTCTCTAACTTGCTTCTCAAAATCGTTTTTGAGCTCTTCCATGGCCTGGGACCAATTCATATTTTTCTTGGAGGCTTTGGATGTAGGGGCTTTGACTTTGTTGTCTTCTTCTGGTTGTATATTTTGGTCTTCTTTTTCAACCAAAGTAAGATAATATAGTCTGACTCTTTTTGCCCTGCTTGCTCATGATCCCGGCCAATTACTTGAGTTTTAAACTCTTTGTTAAGGTATGAATCTGCTTCCAATGTGGAGAATGTACTGTCCCAAGCTTCGGGGGTTTGTACAGCTGTTTTCAGAGATACTTGTAGGGACCTGGAAATTTTCAGTTCTTCCAAGGTGGTATGATAAGGGGCAAGGTGTTTACTCCTTTCCTGGCCTGACTACAAGTACTCCTTTCTGTCCTGTAACTGTGAGGAGGGGCTTTCTCTCCGCAATCACTACAAGCTCCACCAAGCCAGTGCTCCTCCTCACCCCAGCACCGCTGCCCAGAACTGTGACCCAGATCCAAACACAGGCAAAGGAAGAGATTCCTGCCTCAGCACTGGCAAAGAGATCCCTGGAATCCCTCTCTGATCACACTGGATTCCCCCTCAATCTGTGGGCTGGAAGCTTGGGAAGCAGCTGCCCCCCCACAGGGCCACGCTCTTGGGGAATGGAGCTGAAACCCCGCCTTCCTTTCTCAGGCACGGACAGAAACAGACTTTTCCCACTGACCTTCTAATTTGTCTTTGGGATTGGTGGATTGAGGAATCTGGAAACCTCCACAGCTGCCCGAGATTCAGTCCTCTGAGGCCTGCTCCAGGTTTGCTGCAGCCTGCGCGCCCACGCACGGCCTGTGCACCCGTGCTGTGCTGCGCTCCCAGCCCAGCGCGATACACCTTTCTGATCAATCATCCAGGTTGTCTTGGGCTGGAAATTTGTTTCACTCTGTCTTTTTGTGGGTTCTGCTGCTTCAGAATTTGTTTAGAGTCATTTTTTATGAGTATTTGGAGGGGTTTGGAGGAGAGCTCAAGCCAGTCACTGCTTTCACTCCGCCATCTTGGCTCCGCCCCCCCAAACTTCCTAACTTTAAAAAAATATTATTATTCACAGGATTATAGACTGATAACTGGAAAGAACCTTGGACATCTAGTGCAACACACTTATTTTACTTAGGAGGAAAGTAGGAGGAAACTAAAGCCCAGAGGAGTGAAGTAAAATAGCCAGTTAATGATACATGTGCCACACAAAGCCAGATCTGATCCTAAGGTCAGATAGGCCTGAGAGCAAAGCCAGGATTGTGAACCCAAGTCCCCAGACCGTAAATCTATTGCTCTTCATACTACGCCACACTGCA